AAATTATTATGTACCTGATTTTACTCCTTCCGTAACATATGACCAGCCTCTAGGGTGAAAAAAATTACTCGATATGGGAAGTGACAGTGGCACCCAAAAGGGGTTTCTTAATCCTTTCTGCTCCTTGGACCCCTTTGGCAGTTTAATGGTCTCGGGAACCCCGTCTCAGAGAATGCATTTTAGTCAATAAAACGTATAGGCTTAAGAAGAAAACCAGTTGTATTGAAATAAAGGTGTCCAAATATTTGCAAAACAAATTTGTAATATCTGTGCATCTTTACTGATAGATTAAGTAAGAAGACCCAGCAACAGAGCTAAAAATTCCTTAATGAAACTGTCCCAATTAAGAGATAAACTTGAAGTGTAATTATTTCAAGGTATCTATATTAACTCTAATGTAATATGCAAACATCTGTTCCTTTATTGGGTGACAAAATCACAGGTACTGCTAATACTACTGAGGTTTTATGTCCATATTCATAAATAAAAGAAAGTGCCACGTTTCTTTTTAGGGGTTAGTGAAACTAAGGGTCTATTTCCCCATCTCAATATGTGGACTGTCTCTGACTCCTGTCCAGAGATACATCCTCCTCTATCTCCACTCCCACCTAAGTTATGAATCTGCTCTAGTGATTTGGGGAGATTTTAAGCATCTGAATCTTTTTATGTCCACCAGTTGGACAGCATAAATAGCCTGTAGGGGGCTCCTTTAGCCTTCTAGTAAAAACTTGTCAAGTTTTGACAATGCTGGTGATCATTCTGAATTATTCTCTTAAGTCTTTCATGTGTACGTTAAGGTAAACAAGTGAAAATATTACAAGTGTATAATATGTAAAGATGCATGAAAAACTTCAGTAAGTAATGTCTCTAAAGTCAGACATGCTATAAAATAATGTCATGATGAAGTACTCAAGTGAAGTCATTTAACTGCCGCTGGAACTTACAGAATGTTTCAATTCTCCTGTTTTATGCAGTAAAACTGAAGAATTAGCTAGCCTTTGTCTTGAAAACTTGCTCACGATTTTTGCAATATATTTCTAGGAGGAACAATGACAATATGCTCATTTGCAGAGGAGAGTTATTAAAACAAATAAAAAATCCTGTTTGAGCATTTTCTATACGCTGGAAAACCAAAAACACATTTAATCTGTTTTTGAGGATTCCTGCCATAAATGAGGACTCTACTGCTAGGCATTTCACTTGTGATTTCGTTTTCATTTGGATCATTAGTGACATTGCTGCCTGGCTTGTCTAAAATATATGTAATGAGACTTAGACACTACGAACAAAAGTACTATTTAATATAGGATTTTCTTAAGTAGAGTCCCTTACAAAAAGCCATAGTTTCTTCAATGCAAAATACAAATAACTAGAAGGAAATAATGTCTGCTGAAATTTTAGATGCCTAATGTCTTAAAGCAGAAATGGTTGAAAGTTAGCAATTATGTTTTAAATAATAAACACACATCTTTACGTTTCAGAGAAAAAAGGAGTTAGCCCAAATAGGATTCTAAAAATAAGACCATTCCTAGATTTCTCCTAAAATAAATGGCAGCAAATAAAAAATGGCTAAATTAATAATTAAAAATTATATCTAACAATTACTCATCATTTATAATTCCCTTTGATTTAAATATTGAAAAACAAAAGTCATTGTTAAGTTTGGAAAAGTATTTAAATCTTTCAAGGAGCTTAAGCAAACACTGTAGTCCATCTTTCCACTTCTTTTTTAGCCAATTGTTTAGCTGCTGAGAGACTAAAATGGCAGCACTATATTGAAAAGAGCATTAAATAAAATATAGGTAGGTGATATATGAATTGAACCATGAAGGTCAAATAAGCAGCCAGTATTTGAGACAAGAAAGCAAAGATACTACAAGGAACAATAACATATCATCTTTGTAAGAAGAGTGTTAAATGCATAGGTATGCCCCTTCCTCCCTTCCTCAGAGGTTAAAAAAAAAAAAATCAACAGTCTACTGAAACAACGAAGCTAATATGCTCCAGTAATTTATATACTCAATTTCATGAGTTTCCTCAAAGTTATATAGGTTAAGTAACTGTTATTCTTTTGAGATACGTTGTCAAGACTGAAGGCAAAGGTTATAGTAGCTTTCTTTTTCTGATTTCATGAGACGTTATATAAAAAGGAAATAATCACTAAATAATCACTATATAATATTCTCAAGGAAATTATGTCTCTTCAAAAATCCACAAACCATTTTCTGAAATTTCATCTTATGTTTATGAAAGAAACTACAAAACTTACCTAATTCTCCAATAAATTTACCTCCTGTCATGAAGACCAAATCTTAACCAAATCGCTCAGGAGAAAGAGCACAAGAATCGTCCCTTAAACCATCTGTGCAAGAAAAAATGTGTAGAAGGGGCAAATAGGCGATGAGAATGGCATGGAAACAAATGTCCAAGTGGATCAACTATTTCGTGGGCCAAAACTCTCAGGGAGCAATACTGTCAATAATTTGAGCCCAAACAAAAGTAAATCAAAACCCTCCTTAGTTTTTCCTCTCTTAAGTGTGTAAGTTCAAAACATTTTATTTTTATTTTAAAGATTTTATTTGTTTGTTTATCTCTCTGAGAGAAAAAGAGAGAGTAGGGGGAGGAGTAGAGGGAAATGGACAAGCAGACTCCACACCGAGTGCAGAACCCGACCCGGGGCTTGATCCTACAGCCTTGAGATCACCAACTGAGCTAAAATCAAGAGTCAGACAGTTAACCAACTGAGCTACACAGGCGCTCCTAAGTTCAATATTTTTGTGAGTGATCTGAATTCTAGCATATGAAACTTAGTTTAACCTAAGTTCAGAAATAGCAAGAGAAAATTCAGGAAGTGCATTCTACACACTCTTTGTTTTAGCTTTATCTTATCCTATTGCATGAAAAGTTCATTTTGTTATATTTTAGTAATTTAAATATGTAGTAAAATCCAGCCAGTGAAAGAGAAAGGTCAGAATAACACAAAAAAATTGCATTAAATTCTTACTGCCTTCATAAAATGCAAAGCATGGCTGAGGATGCAAACTTTATGGATGCATTTGTCCAGGAATATTGTGAACTCACAGAGGACAAAACCATGGATCTATTATCTATTTTATCATCCCCAAAAGTACTTCACACCCTGGAGGTGTTTTTTAAAATGTGCTTATTGAATTGAATTTATACAAAGCCCTGCAGGTGTAGAGCAATCAAAATATGTTGTTAAAATGGAAAAAGAAAAAAGGATCTACAGAAGCTCCAATTATTAGAATATAATGAGAAAAAAAAACAGTAGGAAAGAAAACTGAAAGATGAAGTGAAATTCAAACATGATTCAAAAATGAGTTTTATCTCTCATTTTAAAACTATAATGTATTAGCCAAAGGACATTAAAATTCCAATTAAGAAAGCAGAAGAAAATGAACATGAACACTACTAATTTGGGAATTTTTAAAAAGAAAATCGTACATTTTCATTCTAAGTTTTAGTTCACAACTATATCTATTGAGCAGATATACGAATATATTAAAATAAGTCATTCTGTTTTGAAACATGAAGGATATTTAACAGCTGCCTAAACAATCCTTTAACAAGAGCTCCTGCATGTAAGCAAAATTCTCAGGGCCAAAGTTGAACAAGTTTGTCCTGGGAAGAAAACTAAAAAGAGAGAACACAAAAGTAATAAAGGACAGAGTTATTATGAAGTCAAGGAATGTTTGTTTAGGACATCACTCATCTCCATCATCTGCTTGATTTTAAAGTTTTATTACAGAAGATGTCTAACTGCCATAAATATTTTCCCTACTAGGAAGAGACACTGAATTTACGTGTTTTTTCTGAAATTTAATTTTAAAAATTCATTTATTCCTGTCCGTTAGGCTTTAAGGCTTCCAAGCATATCCCTAAAAGGCTGTAGGAACCACAAGGAAGATTCTAAGGGAGTACAAAGAGCAGGCTTGCTCTGATCCAAGCCATGGGAGCCATCTTCATTTCAATTAATTTACTTTGCCTTTATGAATTAAGAGTCTTTTAAGGAGGTTGACATTTCACTCATCTGAAAAAGCTTGGAATGTGACAGGGGAAAGGGAGGAGAAGTAAATCAAAGGGGTTAGCAATTTTCCAGATGCAATGTATTTTTCTTTTCTTTTCCACCAGAAATTTTAGAGAGCCTTCTGACATTTTAATTCCCTATGCAAAACCACAGTAGCAAAAAAATGCTTACAGCTTATATATCAAAAAACAAACACGCACACATGTGCACTTGCATAAGCCCATGAAATAAATATAAATTCAGATCTGCTGCTCTTTTAGCTGAAAATGTTTCATAATATAATAAAGCATAATAATGTTACATGTCAACAAAGTTTCTTTAGTGTATTTATTAGATGTTTGTGTGTACAGTTTAATCAACACCATTTTAGTTTAAATGCAGCAGCAGGTTTTGTAGCTCACTTTTTTCCTAGTGATACGAAGTCAATGAGGTGAGTCAGTGTTGATTTTTTTTTTCACTGAGTTGGTGCTGTTCCACTGAAAAGATAGCATTTATAAAAAACTGTTCTTGTAACTGTATTTTAAATCACACCAGAATATTTCAGTTATCACCTTTAGCCACATGGTTTCAGGAAACTATGCCCAAATATATCATGCGAATGCTGGTCATTTTAGAAGAGTTCTATTTCAGGGGAGTGGAAATTCACTAAAACATCTAAATGTAAAAAATCTCAGAGGCCTGAAGACAGATTCTCAGCAACAGGGGATATGTCCATTGTGTCCTGGAGCCAGAGAGGGAAAAATAATAGTCAACTCCCCAAAACACCCTGCTCCGATATTTACCTGACAGCTTTGGTATCTTGACATTTTCCCCAGCGCATTTCCTCCTTTATCAGGTATTATTTTACAAGGGATTTCTTGTTATACAGAACTGACATAAATCAATCTATAACAGAGGAATTTGTTTAATACATTTATTCTTTTAAGAAGTTGCATGATCGTATTTCATCGACTCGTACAATAGAAAAAAATTTACTACTAAAACAGAGTTTGTGGAGACGGATGGATGGTAAATCTATTTAGTCTTTTCAGAGGTTCATTCTTAGATTTTAATGTTAAATAATAACAACTATTCATTTAAAGCTGGTCTCACTGTATATCTTGACCTTTAGCAATTCCACACACAGCAGCTTATTGTGGTATCCTTTAAATATGAGAAATAGAATGTTTTACTTTGCCATTGAAAGAAAAATAAAAGAGTACTGTATGTTACATGGCCCATGAAATATTGGCAGTGTGCTCCTTGGCTTTCATTCGAAGAACTGCGATACTGGAAGACCTCCTTTCAAATTCTGGCTTTGTTTCAAATGCGTGTCCATTGGTAGCCCCAGTAAGAAGAGAGTCAGTGAAAAAATTGTTGAGGGGCACGTGGCTGAACTGGTTCTGGTGGTTTGAAAACCCTGTGTAACTGGAATCTGTCCGAGGCGAGTGAGAATAAGGTGTCATACAGGAGGAAGTGTCACGTGGTAACATGCATGAAGTAACCACAGAACCACCACTCGCATTTCCTGCCCACAAATTGTTCTGAATCTGGAATATATAAGACAACAAATATTACATTTACGCATTCTCACTTTTGTTCCCTTACATTTGTTAAACAGTGTTTTACTAAATTTTGTCAACTATTCATTGTTTGCTCCCATTGGGTGGTCTGTAATTACATTCCGAGTACATAAAGTGATTACTAAAAAATAATTATTGAAGGATCCTTCCAATCTGTTATACTGCAATAGTTCACCAAAACCCACGTACTTGACCACATAAAATACTCAAAACATGTCAATCTCCTGAGTATTCTTTTTATAGTCGTGATTGTTAAAGTGAAATCTAGAAAATCTGGTCAGGATTCATGACAAATTCATGTGTTTAGAAAAACAGTTCAAAATACAGTTTTAAGTTTATATATAGTTTTCATCCTTCTAAACAAAATGACACAAACGCATTTTTTTAAAGTTTTATAGTTGGACTCAATGTGGCAATTTTGGTTGGAAACCATTCCTGATATGAGGCTATTACCTTTGTCGATATTTGTAATCAAACTCATTATTAGAAATGTTTGCCCTTTGATTGTTTTTTATTTCCTATAGTCTTAAATACAGAGCTCTGTGAATATGAGCAATATATACATATTTTAAACATTTTTCTGTGCCTTATGTATGATACAGTGAGGTTGCAACAGAATTATGACATGTAAAACATTTTAAAATTCTAAAACATGACCTTATCAAATAATGGAAGTACAGCTGAGAAAAGCCTGCTAGTATTAGCAAAAATATATGAGTATAATTAAAGTACTATATAACGTCTTACATAAGATTGAAAACTAGGTTGTCACTTGTGCCCAGGAAATTCACATTTCTTAGTATTAAATCTCTATAGGAAACAACACACAGAAATTTCTCTAAAGTTTCTAGCACGTAAAGGAGACACTAAGTAGAATTTGTACAATAGGAGTTTTAAATAGGAGGGATCTTAAACCAGCTATTTAAACAAGGAAAGAAAACAGTGGTCACATGCATTACTGAGAAACATCGAGAAAAATCACACAAACAGCAGGAACCCGGGAAAACTGTTGGATGGTATAATATGAAAGACAGTTCGAGCCTTAGAAGACAAAATTTAAAAACTGTATGCTTTTGCAGTATTAATACAACAGATCTGAACTAGAACAGAGCAGGAATACCTTTGTTTATCCCCCTGGCTCCCTTTTTAAAAATTGTAATAATTAGAATCATTGATTGTTTTTAATACATCCACAAACAATGTTTGCTTATATTTACTTTTTCGTAAGAATTCCAGTCTACCACATATAGCCTCTGGTGTAGTCTCACAACACCCATCCTTAAATCCTGCCTTTTAAGACAAATTATTTTCAATTAATAGCATAAAATGTTAATGAATCTTCTATATTATACTGGTAGAGATATTACTCTGTCACTCAAGAAGAGACCGCTTAACCAGTTTCAAACATAAGGAAAAACTGAAACAACTAATTTCATCTGTTAGTTGGGGCTTCAGAGATTGGCACGATGCTCACTTCAGTGTTATTTTAGAAAATAGTCATTTATATAGATACCTTTATAAACTGCTTTAAATATATCAAATCTGTGAGACATTTCTACAGATATATATATATATATATATATATATATATATATAATGATTTGCACATTCTATTAATCTTTAAGCCATCATGGGCTATGTTGTTCTAATTTTGGCTGGTTCTAACTAAATGCATCCCACTTGAGCCAAAATATGATGACTGGTGCCACTGATTGCTGAGTTATGTATCTCAAACCAACAAGAGGGACTGTTAATGTCATTACTCTGTCAACCTAGCTCTTCTAACTTGATCTGGGTGATTTTCCTCTGACATTTAATCAAACATTGTGCTACACTGCAACCACAGTCACATGTCTGACAAAAGGGCTTTCAGGAAATGAAAGTGAACTTGCTTGCTTATTTTTGAAAAAATAAATGAAAGGCAAAATAGCGGTAGAGAAAGATTATTTACAGTTTAAGTTTGTTAAAGGATTCCTCAATTTATACATAGCATTGCTTAAATTTATTATTAAAATCATCTACTCATATTCCAAATGCATAGAAATATATTTACTAAGTAGGCAAAAAGAAAAAAAAAAGAAGGTCAAGACAAGGAAAGTGATCTATGAATATATATTAAGAAAGATTTTTCTCTTTAAAATAATCCACATTAATCTATCTATAAGTTGAAAATAAATTCTTTAGTTTCTATGGCATGAACAAATTTTTTTTTCATGAAAAAATATTTTTATTTTGACCAAAACTTCTTATCTGGACATGATCAAACAAGATGAATGTGCTACTTTTGGTGAAATAATTTCTAGCATATAGAAAGAAATGTTTTCCAAAAAGAAGAGATGGGTAAAGCAAGTTACTGCAGCAATATTTTAGTTGGATTTGAGAAGATACCATGGGCATCCCAAGGGTAGTGACACTGTCACACGTTTCTACTGATATGTCCTATTTCCTGATCTCTATCTTCTCCACCTCATATCTTTTTTTCATTTAAAATATTCCTGGCATGTCTTCATTTCACTTTAGGGTTTTAGTTGGTTTTAATATTGAAAGTTTAGATGCAAATCATAAAAGACAATATCCCCAGTGAATTGAGGTTTTGTTTCCTCTGAAGCGTTCCCTTGGGATGATTAAACATCTGATGACAACAATCAAAACAATGCTCATGATAGCTAATGGTTATCAGTTATTCACCATATACATGCTATTAAATGCACTGTGCAGACTTCTAATCATTTCAACACACTAAAAGATGCTTCTTTGCTTTCAGTATCCACATTTTGTAAATGGTAAAACTATAGAGCAGGGAGCTTAAAACCTTCTCCAAGATGTGTAACTTCAATGTTAGAGGTCAAATCTGAACGCAGGCAATCTTAAGAAATGCTACAATGATACAAAAACTAGTCTTTATAAACTGAAATTATTTACTTATTTACAATCCTAACTTTGTGTGGGTTCGTAGGCTCTGTTCTCTGAAAGTGAAATCCCTGATGCTTGCTCATAAGTTTTTCCTCATCCTTCAGCCTAACACAATACATGATAAGCACTTAATACAATTTTATTAAATGATCGAAAAATCTCTGAACAGTCTGAAATTCAAACTGATCCATCTTGCAGGTGTAATCAAAATTTTATGGACAATTTATGGTAATATATCTAAATTTTGTTTCATGATTTGAGCTCTATAATCACTACTATGTATAATATTGACAATTATGAAAATTCCATCCCAGACACTGTATTTCCCGAGGTAGTTTTATTTTCCTATTACATACTTATTCTTCATCACAGATACATCTTGTTGGAGATTCTGACTCATTAAGCATGGGTGTGGCTTATGGGATCTGTTATTAAAATAATGGCAATGATAATAATACAGGAATTCTGAAAATCATCTGGGATTAGGAAGCATTATTGAAGCTCCACTTGCCTCCAAATGCAAAAACCCCTTGTACACACACGTTCAATTACATTTAGTTCTTGTGATAAGAAGCTCACCTCTTCAAAAATTTTTCATTCCTTTTTGGACAGTTCTATAAAAATGTGAGCTGTTATCTTCCTCTACACACTTCTATTTCTGGTCTTTAAAATGATACAGAACCTGGCATTCTTCTTACATGTGAAAATCTTCAAGTATCTTAGGCAATTATTGCACATGTCTCTTTTCTTCAGCATTTCTCAAGGCAGTATTTGATCAAACAGCAGCTTGTGGTTTAATAAATCTACTGCTGTCAAGGTGGGCTCAGTCTATGGTCCCTCCATCCCTCCACCAATTCAGTGGTCATTTTCAAACTCTGTGCTCGAATCTACAAGTCATATTGTCTAAAACTATAGACTTGAAAAAAAAATAAAAATAAAACTATAGACTTGTTAGCAGAGAAGCCACATAAAAATCTTGCTGACTCATTAGAAGAAATACTGTATTTGCTGTTAGATTTTGGAATGAAAGAGTACTTTTTTTTTTCAAATAGGATCACTACTTTTTTTTTTTTTTTTTTACTATTTCAGAGACACCTACGATGGTGAAGCCCAGCACCAAATAAATTTTATGTTTTTTTGTGTGTGTGTGTGGGGGGCCTCTAACTGTATATTAAAGAGCTTCACAACCAGGAACACTCTTATTAAGTAATACCCACATCCTCCTTTCCTGTGTGCCAAAAAAAAAAAGACTGCCTTTACATTTTTTCTCCTTGATTGTATAAAAAGGAGTAGAAAATCTAAAAACATTCCATGTTTTAATGTGCTTTGCAATGTTTTAAAAAAATTCTAGGGGTACGTTCAAAGCATTGTCCAGGGAACTTAGCCAACTGCATCCCGTTAGCACGAATGCAGGTTCAGCTGACTTACCACACTCCACTTTGAATGTTTGCCCCTTAGTGTTTTCCTAATCAAATGAAAAGTTAGCACTTAATTATTCCATGACTATGAATTTAGGAGGAAAGTTGTTTTTTGTCTGATTCCTTCCAAAGAGAAATTAAATTTATTTAACACTCATTTTCCCCCCAAGGAATTAAAAGTAATATATAGGAAGGAAAGGGTCAATATATATGCGTATTTTACACACACGCACACACACACACACAGAGTTCTTCACTGTGGGTATATATTCATCATGAGTTGAAATTATATGGTAAATAATGAAACTATAAATCTCATTTACCTCCACCTTAGAAACTTGATATAGATATATTCTTTGTAAAACCAAAACTGCAAAGAAATTTTTAGAATATTAACCCTACCTAGTATATGTTTCTAATATATTTGCAGATTTTATTATAGTAAGCAACTTCTCGTACTTTTAAAAAGCCTTTGAAAAGAAATACAAGTTTGTTAGTCTTTGCATTAGTTGTAAAGTATCATGATGTATAAAAAACATCAAATACTTTCATGACAGCATTACATATTCTATATCCTAATGTTAGTGCTATTTAGAAGACAGTATTCTATGAACTTTAATCTGGATTTAATAGAAA